GAACCAATCCAAAATAAAACTGAAAGTAAACTGTAAAAAAAAAAAATTATTGGGGTCAAAATGGCAGGTAAGAGGAGCAAGCACGGACTCCCTGGAATAGAGCAGGGACACCTGCCCTGGAAGGTGGGCGCTCATACAGGGTCCTAACCAGACTGATGGGGTGTGTGAGTGAGACACTACCTCGACGCACCGTCCGTCCAGGAAGTCGACGAGAAGAGGGTGCATATGACACAGCCGTCATGGTGACAGCTAATCAAAGCCAGATGAAGATAAATTAACCACTGCTAAACACGACACGGCCAGCCAGGACATGGGGCTTTCTTGTGACAACTCCGAAGGCTTCCTCTCGCCAGGCATGTAATATATGAGGGTAGACCCTGTATTTTAAAATCCAAAAGCTTTTAGCCCGGCCAGCGTGGTTCAGTGGACTGAGCATCGTTCCAGGGACTGAGAGGTCCCGGATCTATTCTTGGCCGGGGCACAAGCCTGGGTTGCAGGTTCGATTCCCCACCAGGGGGCCTACAGGAGGTAGTCAATAGATGTTTCTCTCTCATATGGATGTTTCTATCTCTCCCTCCCTTCCTCTCTCTCTAAAAAAATCAATAAAAAGAGATATTAAAAATCAATAAAGCCCTGGCCAGTTTGGCTCAGCGGTTAGAGCGTCGGCCTGCGGTCCGGAGAGACCCGGGTTCGGTTCCCGCTAAGGGCACGTACTTCGGTTGCAGTTTGTCCCCGGCCCTGGTTGGTCGTGCGGGTGCAGCCACTCGATGTGTCCCTTCACGTCAATGTTTCTCTCTCTCCCTCCCACTCTATCTGTACAAAAAATGGAAAATATCCTCGGGTGAGGATAAAAAAAAATCAATAAAAAAAATTCAAAGGATTTTTATTTCAAAAGCGGGCGAAGACTTCTTTGAGGATGTTCTAGTCTCTGAGCAGGAGTAGGCTTGACGTATAGTCACGCCTCGCAGGAGAGAAAGGAAAGAAGCTGTCTCTTCAGACATGAGTTTGCAAAAAGCTGCTGAATAGACTAAAACTGTTCAATAAGTGACCTCAAACTACAGTGCACAGCACTACGGGCCCCTCCAAAACGTACTGAAGTTCAAACACCTGACAACACCGAGAACTGGGAAGGGTTCGGAGGACTGGAACTCACTTCTTGCTGACAGGCGTGGGTCGTGGTGTAACTACTTCCGATAGCGCTTTGGCAGAACGTGGAGAAGCTGGGCACCTACGTGCCTTCCAACCCCACAATCTCACTCCCAGGCACACGGCGCGTCTTACCCACCAAACAAGCTCACCACCGAGCCTGGGCCCTGAATCTCCCGCAGGTCCACTGCCCACCTTCCCTCTCACAGATGTGCGAGCCAAGTCCAACGTGGCCTGTGGCTGGGGCAGGTCTCCATGCGTCCACGTGATGTCATCCGTGTCACGGTCTTGTTTCACTGATGTGGGAGGGAGGGCAGGTCTCGGGCTGACATGTTGTGGGCTGTGCCGGTGGTCTGGGAGGGCACCAGAAGGTCCATTATGCTTGCTCCCACATGAAGGCAGGTTGATGGTAGTTATCAGAAACCAGTACTTGCCAGAATTTTCCCATGAATGTCCTTGAAGATGAAGCACTTTTGCAGGGACACTTGTACCGATTACTATATTAATAATGTACTGATTTGTGTAATAACATATTTAGTAAATAATAAAACTAATATATCTAAAGAAAAGAACCTAAAGAAAGTTTTAGCTTCACTTCTTTTTTGACAGTGCTTCTCGTGTAATTTAACATATCAAATAAGCCTAATTAGTTTAATATCTCTACTAAAAAGACAGAAAACATTTCTGAAATGTTCCAGGGACCCTCGTGAAAATCCCAAAGTTAATTCAAGGTCAACAAGACTTGGTTTAGAATTTGACTTGAGGGGAGTTTGTAAAAAATATTGAGAGGTATAAAACATTTGATTAAATAGGATCATAGGTCACTATGAGACAATACTTAGTTATTCATTTAACCAAAGTCACCATTAAAGAAATCAAAGGCAAATACCAGGGAATTATATTGCTGTAAAAAAACCAAACACTTAGCCCTTTTAATGAGAAGAGTCGGTTTTCTTAAACAGTCAAAGACCTAAAAAAGACAATGAGAAGTACAGGAAATCATTTTCATTAAACACAACATCTTTGTTTTCTAGCCAGATTACACAAAAGGTAAGGCTACACTTTTCACAATCTTATCAGGACCAGACCAGTTGTCCAAGAGAACTCTGTTCTACCAGCAAATGAGAACCAAGTTTCCCTTTTACATCAACATGCTCTTGATATTAAAACTTATTTTCTAAGACAATTAACAAAGGCTGCTTTGCACAAAATAATGTTGGCAATATCCTTCCGAGGTAGCAAAACATCACATGAACACAACGTAGATCCGTAGACACACATAAACGTGCAGACTCAACAAAGCCCTTATAGCTTTCATTCCAAACTCTCGCCATGAACCAGGTGCCCACTCGCATGGCCAAAGCATTTTACTAATATATGTGGGGAAGACTTCGGAGATGTGTGTATTTGCCCTTGACCAGTACTCTTATGCAGGATACGGACCAGATTTGGGGCAGGCTGCTTCTCTAACAGGCTGTATATATTATTGAATGCTTCATTACTCCCCCTGCCCCTTATTTTTCCTTCAGTCTCCGTGGGCAAAGTTTTCATTATCTCCTGCAGTCTTTACACATTTCAAAGACATGAAAAGATGTACAACTTCAAGATACAGGAAAGCGAGGATGTGTGTGTGATCTCCTAGGAGTTTGGGGGTACATGTCTCTATTATCAGAAGTCTAGGGTGATTACTATTTTAAATTTTCCTTTATTTTAGGGGTGGGATGGCATGGGACACTTGTTCATCGCATGGACCAATTCCGAGTGCTTTCTTCATTCAGAACAAAAATTGGCCACGCAGTTTGGGAGTGATACACACTTGGAGTCAGAAAGGTGGGGAGCCTTCTGTTGACACATCCAACGTGTGAAACCAGGCAGCCTGAATTCTAATCTGAAGTTACTCAAGTCACTTCAATAAAAAGGGAGTGATAAGACTAACTGCCCAGGCTTCTGAGGAAATTAGTAGATAATGTATTTAATACAGCACCCGATACCTAAAAATTAATCATTAATCAGCAATGCGAGCAAGGTCTACTGACCTTGTAGAGTTTGGAAGATGGAAGCAACCTTAGTGCAGTTCTGCATACAGCTTTGAGAAGACTCAGGAGTGTGCCGTCACGTTGTGCGTGGTGCCTGGGATGAATGTCTAGGCAAGAGGACATGAGAAGAGACAGCTGGTACAGGAAAGGGAGAACTCATTGTCTCTAGAGGCTTACTAAGCTTTCAGAATGTCCTCCAACAGGTTGCCAAGGAGATGGCAGATGTTGTTGTTGTTGTTTTTTGCTTGTCAGGGGTCAAATTATGTGAAGAGTTTGCAATCTAGTTCTAGAAAAGCACCTAATAAAAGAAGTGCAATAAATAAGAATGGAGGAGGCCCTTGTGTGTTTCATTTCCTCCCAAATAGAATTAAAGAAAATGCAGAGATATTGTTCTTTTCTTCTTTGCAAATTATTAAAATAGATGATGCCAGCAACCTCCCCCTGGGAAGAAGTAAAGGTACTGGCCTCCTAAGAAGGGGAAAGGGAGCTCTAGACTGTTTAGAACTTTTTCATATCAGTGAGGATGTATTCAAATAAACCTGAAAAATGACCTTCCCTTAGTCCACACTCATGTAGCTAACTTAGACCTTGTTTTTCATGTGATCAAGGAAGAAAGACAACAATTCCATAGGTTCTGTCTTGATCGGAGGTAGAGGTCAAGCAATGGATTTTTAATTTAATTTGTTTAAATTTAGACAGGAAGAGGTTGTTGGTGGCTGCCATTCTAAATAAGGGTTTAGAAACCACAGCTAGTAGTGGCCTGTGGCAAGCCAATAACTAAATTGTTCTACAGTGAAACATAGTTTCGGGAAGCATCAAAGATATAAAGCGCTGTCCTTGTAGAACATGTCTTATTAATTCCAGAAGGTCCTGTGCTTCCCTATACCCCAGTCTTGGCTCAGGTGCGTGCTTCCCTTGAACTACAATTTAATAATGAAATATTCTTGAGACCATCCCAAATCAGGACTTTGGGGAAGTAACTTCTTCTTCCTCTATACTCTGTGCTATGTATTTGTCATAACACTCACTTGCCACTTAGTATAGATATTGCTGACTTCGAATTTTTAAAATATGAAATGCTAATTTTTTAAAAACTTTGAATAGTATAACAGTCCAAACTAGAATATACTCAGATGTCTATTTACAGGCACATCGATGAATAAAATGTGATATATTCAAATAGTGGAATAGTATACAGCTATGAAAATTAATAATCTGTAACTACACACAACAGTGTGGTTGAATGACCTAAGCATAACTTGTAGAGAATGTATCTAAACACAAAAGAATCAGTAACATTACTTGAATTATATGAAGCACAAAAACTGGCCAAGCGATTCTATGTTCTTTGCAATCAGGCGAGAGGTACCCACTGTATGGTGTGGCAGGGGCAAGGGTTTGACCCAAAGGGAGGACTGGGAATTCCTGGGAGAATGTGCATACAGTTTCTTGAACTTGGTGCTGGTTACATGGCTGTCTTCACCTTATACTATTCAGCAAACCATTTGCTTATATTCTCTTTATGCATATGGTCTCAATACAAAATTTTAAAACATCAGCATTTCCATTCCTTGCTTTCTGAATCATTAAACTCATTGATGCCTCATGACGCTTTAGAAGACTAAGTTCTTCTAAACTTAGCAGCAGGAGCAGGTTCTCCAAATCAGCCAGCACTGCGTTCTTGGCAAAGCTCACCCAGGTCATCCGGGCCGTGACTGCGAAAGCATTGCTTAACCTCAGGTCTCAGAAAGGATTATAAGCGCTCCCATTATTTCAGCGTCTGAGGTTTCTGCACAATGGACCCGAGTGGGATTTGAGTAATGAGAGGGTTTCTGAAGCCAGAGGGCATCACCCATTCCTGCTTTGCACATTCCCAGAACCCAAACAGCGTCCAGCAGAGAACTTGCCCGGGTTTATAAAAACAAAGCCGGAGCAGGTCACATCGTCCCCACCCCCTGGGAGCCCATGAGAGTCCTCCGGTGCGGCTGGGCCTGGGGTTGATCTGTTCTACTTTGCCAGCATTTCTGAGGGGTGGAGCATTTGGCCATCTCTCTGTTTCCAGAACTGTTTCAACTTCCTCCTGGAGCAACCACTTCCCTGCACTAATCACAACTTTTCACAGAGGAGAACACCAGACAGTGTGAGAATTGTCAGCTGGTAAATGTCCCCCCCGAAAGATCCAAAAAAATGAAATTTCCAGCAAAGATTCTGTGGCTTATGTTATGGACTGTTTGCGTAGCACAAGGTAAGAATATAAATAAAAGATTGTTTTTTCTATAACTATATTATCAAACATTTGCTAATATGCTTTTTGCCATGGTAATAAAATTTTGATCTAGAAAATGTGATTTTTATTACAGCCCTGTGTTTGAATGGCTTTTGACACTGTGGAGCTTAAAGCATATATGTAGCTTATTTGGATGACATTCTGGTTATTTATTATAATTTTATTTAATGTAAATTTTCAGAAAACATTTTTTAAAACTGTTTTGGAAAATTGTAATGTGCATAGTCACTTCTATTGTAATTGTCATAAAATATAATTTTATTTTTTGCTTAGAGTTTTTACTAAAATGCTTTGTGTCAAAGTATTAAGCAGTATGTGAACATATAGCACCAAAATGTAAATTAATCAGTAAATGTTTTTAAATCATATAATGATGGGATTTATTTCAGATATAGATATTAACTTTTCCCAAGTAAATATTTATTTATCATTTAGAATTGGTGCTGCCATGCCCTTAGAAGTCTTGGAGATTACCATTGCTTATATCATTAGCATGAAAACATTATATAAATTTGAAGAAAAAAAAAGTAAATATGTAATCTCTGTGATGCCCAGTTGTTCAGTGGGGTTTTTTTCCCCTCTGGGGGTAGATAAGATGGATCCTAGAAGTGCAGTCTGTATGTGTAGTGATTATGAATGTAAGAGCTTTGTTTTGTTTATTCTGATATCAGTAGGACAATTTCTGGATTCATCATTAAATTTCACTATTTCTTGATAAATTAATAAGTTTCTCCTTGGAGGAAATTTACTTTCCTAGTTCCTGACAGGTAATTACGTGATAGGTACTTGACTGACATTTTTAAACCGAATGAATTCCATAGCACTCATAAATTCTCAAAACTTTTCACTAAGTAAGCAAATGTTGAGTGAAATGCTTACTCATGTCAGCCTCTAATTAGAAATAGTAGCAAATAACCCTGACCCTCTGTCCCTGGAGGCTTTTGATCTAGAAAATGAAGGTAGAATTTTTTTTATTTATTTATAACTTTTAGTAATTTATTTAAGTTTATTCCACTGTGTTTAATACTTTTTGAAAAATAGAGCCTTTTTTAGTTAGACATTCTAGTGTACTATTGTGTAATTTTTAGCTTGTATACCTTATGTCCAGACATTTTTAAAACTAGCCATCCAACCGTTTTCCCACACATATCAATACTACAATTAGTGTTTAAAGTAAAATATTATTCATTGTCTCTTTCCAATAGGAATACTTTTAGGATCTCATCATTTCCATGTTGTTTGTTGAGGTTTTATTCGGACATCACTTGTCATATAAAGATTTGGTTTATTTCCAGCTTATGTTTAAAAGAATCATGCCAAATTTAATTAAACTTTTCAAATGAGTACAAAGTGACATTTGAAATAGTAGGATTAGCTGCTACAAAACATTAGTGATAAAAATGAAATGGAAGAAATTTAAATTCTTTGCTGAGGTCATTGATTACAGATGACTTGTTTAACTTCTGTTTCATATGTCATCCTTGTCACATCAGCTTCTCCCAGTGACTTGAGCACTATATATATTATCGTGAGAATGATTATACAAGTGTGGCTACTTGCTAACAGAGAAAGTACCACTTTAATGTTTAAAACAACACTCAGTGTAGCCCCATGATTTTCACAGATAATGCACAAACCAGTAGAGGAAAATGACATGAATTTTTAGTGGCTATAAAACGACTGTTTTATTCCTTGCTTGCCAAATTGTCCTGAAATTAAATTAGTTTGCTGTGAATACATTGAGAACTTTTCGGCAACAATACTGGGGGGAGGTGGAAATGGATGGCGAGCGGGGTAAGAACCAGACTCAGTGATTAGAAGATGAGGCACTTCCAGGTTAGCTAGATCCGATGGGTGAAGTGGTCCAGGGCATCCCCTGAGATGGGGTGAGGTCAAAGCAAGCCTTAGTTATTTTAAGTGTAAGCATATCCTGGAAATACATGTGCCCCTCTTTTGCTTGAATAAAATATTAAACCAGAACTGAATTGTTTAGATAGTGCTAAAATTATTCCTAGCGAGAAGGAAGTTCCCAAATACAAGTTGAAGCCCAGATTAGTAAAGATTCATTATTGGCCCTTGCTTGCCAGGGCCAAAGTCCAAGTTGATTCATTTTTTATTTGCTCAAACCCTGATTGTTTTACAGCTTTTACCACTTTTCCTTCTTTTCATCTCTGCCTCCTCCTCCTCACCCCACATACCCTCCCCCACCTGCCCGGACTGTGACATTCTGCCAACAAGTCATCTTGTGTTCTCCCAACTCATGTTCACTTTACCCATTTTTTAACAACTGAAACCAGTCTGAGAACATAGTGCATAAAAAGAACATGATGTAATGGGGGGGGGGGGGGGATGTGACATTTCAGCTTAAAATGATAAGGAAGCACTATAAAAATGTCTCAGAGAATGTAATGGAACAACAACAACAACAAAAAAAAAACACAAAAATAATCAAAGAAAAGGAGAATAAAAGGCTTGACAGAACACTTTTATTTGTTTTGACATTTTAACAGAGAGCCAAGTTTCTCATAACTTTGCTGACAAGAAATACAATAGAAAAGAGATTATAAAAATCTTCCTTCAAAGGTTCCCAAAAGCCTGGTCCTCACTGGGCTAACTCCTACTCAACCTGCAAAACCCACCCAAGATGCTATCACCACCATGACGTATCTCTTATTTTGAAAAGCAAGTTGGAAAAGGAGGAACATCTATAATATTTTCAGCCACAAAGAAACTTTTAAAAAAAGAAAAGTTGGATTATATCATATGCATGCATATATAATTAATATGCATATATACCAATGGATATTCAATATGAAATATCTATTTTTGCTATTTTCATTTTGCCCATTTTTTTCTAAATTGATTCTTGGTTTGGTTTTATAATATCTTTCAATTTTTACTAAGTTTAGAATTATGCTATTTAAAAAGTAGGATCTGCTATTTTTTTTCCAAAAACTTTTAGAAAAATAGACTAATTCAACTTTAGTCTACCAAAGCAATCTGGTACAAATGTGATTGATTTTCTCAAATGTATAATTTTATTATAATTTATTTGATTTTGTTAAGAATACTTTTCAAACAATAGTTTATAGACATATTAACATTAAAAATATGTAATTAGCTCTGTGTTTGTATGTCAACAATACGGGTATTCCCTTGAAATTTGAAAGTGGAAAAATTAGATGAATACTGATGATTAAAATATCAAGTGCATTTGTTTTTAACTTCGACTAAAATTTTATAACCATGTCCCTCAAATTGAAGTAAAATGAATTCTATTCTAGTCCAATAGCCAAATCCATTCGTATTCCATATTTATAGACTGAAGAACTTTAAATTGGAAAATCAGATCAAGTGAATAAAAAGTTCACCTCAATAGTGTTTTGCAAAAGAAAGAAAAATTAATTGGTCTTTAACAGACTATGTAAACACATAAGATGAAGTATCCATTGTTTAAATCCAAATAAGTAATCAGATGTAAGAAAGTTTTGTTTACTCATTAACTTAAAACTTGAGAAATGGGACAACTTTCCAAAAAAATAATAATAAAAGCTTTAAGATTAATCCTACCTTAAGAAATGTTTCCGTGTTTAAAAAAATATTTTTTTTTCTTTATTGATTTTAGAGAGAGGAAAGGAGAGAGAGAGAGAGAAACATTGATGAGCGAGAACATTGATTGGCAACTTCCTATATGCTCCCCCTAGGGATTGGGCTCACAACCTGGGCATGTGCCCTGACCTGGAATCGAACTGGTGACCTCTTGGTGCATGAGTCGATGCTCAACCAATGAGCCACATCAGCTGGGCTAAAAAATATCGTTAAGCTACTATATAATAAGCCCTCCCTCCAAAAACTGTACATTTGATTCAAGTAACTGTGGTTGATGTACATACGGGGCCAATATTTTGACGACTTGGTTTAAAATAACTCTTTATCTAATTGAAAGTGCTTGAGAATGAGCTTGAACAGTTAGCTACTTGTCAGTTCAGGCAAATAAAAGTCACATTGTAACATAGACTTAATTATTGTTATGACACAGTTTGGCGAATCATTACTTTAAATATTTTGTGATGACTTGAGTTGAAAATACTCGATATATTAAAGATTAGAACAAAAGTAGACAGGAAGTACATTTGAAGTTAGGAGATCTGGATATTCATGACATTCCCTCCGCTGTGAAAAACATCACAGAGATGGTCCTTCTTCTCAGAGAGCTCCCATGTTGATGGGAGGGTAGATGACATTCTGTAAACAGAAAAAGAATTATGAATTATGATGTGACAGACAAGAGTCATCAGAGCTAAGACTCTGGGGATGCTTGTGGGAAACCAGGAAACCAAGAAGGGGTGATATATCTTTTTCTTACAGAGGCGAGAGATACCATTTAAAGTCCCTAAAAGAAGCACTGGGTTTTCAGTATTATTTGAAGTAGAAAGGGGTGATCAACTTGGTAATAATAGGTTTACTATACACAGAGTAAATGTTGTGAAAAGCTGGTAGGAAGATTATGTGAAATATATATCTTTGTCTTTTGCATGCATATGGCTGTGGAAACCACTTAACTGAATTTGAGAAACCAAACACTGCAGGTATAAATGTATTATGTGGAAACAGAACATTAACCATAAGGAAAACTCATAGACTCTGGCCAACAAATGGGCTCAATTTTTCGTGGTTGTATCAGTGCATTAGTAAAAATAATTTAAACCACATAAATTAACCGAGAAAAAATTGTGTTCTTTTTCCCTTGCATTAGCTTTATAACAGAATAGGAACTAAGTTTATCAAAATGTTACTATGTTAGTGGAAAATAGTTCTTTCTCTTCTCACAATATTGGCATCTACATTTTAAATATAACTCATTTATTTTTATGATCTAAACGACATGAAGTGGTTCTGAACATCAGAAGTGACAAACACACTTATTAGCCTGTAATTAAACAGAAAAATTTTTGTCTGAAAACAAACATGAACATTAAATTGTAAAAAAAAAAAAATCAGAACAAAGACTCACTTGGGAGTTTGTGTGGTTTCATGACAGAGTATTACCACCATCTGGTGGCAAAAACGTATATTGACTTAACTTGTGAAAATCAGAAGTTCCCTAACCTACATGTGCCAAAAACTTAGGAAAATTTCAGAGGAAAATTACTGCCTCTGGAATCCCACACAAATAGCATTTATTACATAAACAACAGAGTTTCCCATGGCACTTTCTGTTCTGTGAAATGTTGTGAGACATTTTATTAATGAATATGTTCTATAATGAGATCCGTCTCAGCCAATTCTTGTTTTCCCTTGCCTTTAAAAAGAAATTCTAGACTAGAATGTTAAACCATTACCATAAAACCAAGTAAAGAAAGGAGTTTCGCGATGAAAACTAACAGTAATTATCTATGGTGATAACTATGCATCTTTATATATTTATTTCTTTCATCTTTTTTTCATCACCATGTAACCCCTCTATTCCCTCTTCCACCTCCACCCTCCCTCCTGCCCCCCACAATTACCACGCTGTTGTCCACGTCCTTGAGTTTTTTCTTTTTCTTTTTTATGAATGCATCTTTAAATTTGCCATTTTTAAAAGTAATGTTGGGGGTTTACTAATGTATATAACAATTGTATCTAAATGAAGCAGTTGTCAGTATTAAAAATATTAACAATAATAACGGTAGACAGGAGCTTCATTGTTAATTTTCTGTGTTCTCTCTATATGCCATTTAGTTAACGAGTTTTTGCAAAATAAGAATCATGTTGATACGCAAACTGCTACTTTAATATCTTTTTGCAAAACGTAATACATGAGTGAGTATAACATTAATGAATGGTATTACGGATCATTATAACCGCCCATGTCAACAACCAGAACCTTCGCGGCATCCTACGGAATCCCCGTGGGTTTCTTGAGATGGGCACCCTGCCTTCCTTCTGGAGGAAAGCACTGTCCCAGCACCTACGGTGACGGCCTCTTTGCCACTGCGTGTCCGCCGTGCAGCTCCGCACCCATCCCCACTGGGCGCGCGCTCTGGGCCCGCCGAGGTGAAGCCACCGTGACCTCGGCTGTGCTGTGCCTGCTCGGTTCCTGTGACCACGGCTGCGCTGTGTCTGCTCGGTTCCCGTGACCGCGGCTGCACTGTGCCTGCTCGTTCCCGTGACCGCGGCTGCGCTGTGTCTGCTCGGTTCCCGTGACCGCGGCTGCACTGTGCCTGCTCGGTTCCCGTGACCGCGGCTGCACTGTGCCTGCTCGTTCCCGTACCCGCGGCTGCGCTGTGTCTGCTCGGTTCCCGTAACCGCGCTGCGCTGTGCCTGCTCGTTCCCGTACCCGCGCTGCGCTGTGCCTGCTCAGTTCCCGTAACCGCGGCGGCACTGTGTCTGCTCGGTTCCCGTGACTGCGGCTGCACTGTGTCTGCTCGGTTCCTATAACGCTGTGCCTGCTCAGTTCCCGTAACCGCGCTGCGCTGTGCCTGCTCGGTTCCCGTGACTGCGGCTGCGCTGTGTCTGCTCAGTTCCCGTGACCGCGCTGCGCTGTGCCTGCTCGGTTCCCGTGACTGCAGCTGCGCTGTGTCTGCTCGGTTCCTATAACGCTGTGCCTGCTCGGTTCCCGTGACTGCAGCTGCGCTGTGTCTGCTCGGTTCCTATAACGCTGTGCCTGCTCGGTTCCCGTGACTGCGGCTGCGCTGTGTCTGCTCAGTTCCCGTAACCGCGCTGCGCTGTGCCTGCTCGGTTCCCGTGACTGCAGCTGCGCTGTGTCTGCTCGGATCCTGTAACGCTGTGTCTGCTCGGTTCCCGGGACCGTGGCTGCGCTGTGCCTGCTCGGTTCCTGCGCGGTTCCGTCTTCCTTTCACGTCACTTTGTAGCCCTGGAGTTACCCCGACGTGCGCCGTCCTAACACGTTTACACTTCAGCGGTGGGCGAGCAGGGGTGTTCTCTGCATTTTTTACTGTTAAGGACATGCTATGGCTGTCAGGTTACATAACTGCAATCCTGCTCGCCCGAGCCCGAGGTGCCTGCGCGTGAGGACGCCTGCTCTTGAGGTGCCTTCCCGTGAGGCGCCTGCGCGTGAGGAGTCTTCGCGTGAGGTGCCTGCGCGTGAGGAGTCTTCGCGTGAGGTGCCTGCGCGTGAGGTGCCTTCCCGTGAGGCGCCTGCGCGTGAGAAGTCTTCGCGTGAGGCGCCTGCGCGTGAGGAGTCTTCGCGTGAGGCGCCTGCGCGTGAGAAGTCTTCGCGTGAGGAGTCTTCGCGTGAGGTGCCTGCGCGTGAGGTGCCTTCCCGTGAGGCGCCTGCACGTGAGGAGTCTTCCCGTGAGGCGCCTGCACGTGAGGAGTCTTCCCATGGAGTCTTCCCGTGAGGCGCCTGCGCGTGAGGAGTCTTCCCGTGAGGCGCCTGCGCGTGAGGAGTCTTCCCATGGAGTCTTCCCGTGAGGCGCCTGCGCGTGAGGAGTCTTCCGGTGAGGCGCCTGCGCGTGAGGAGTCTTCCCATGGAGTCTTCCCGTGAGGCGCCTGCGCGTGAGGAGTCTTCCCGTGAGGCGCCTGCGCGTGAGGAGTCTTCCCGTGAGGCGCCTGCGCGTGAGGAGTCTTCCCGTGAGGCGCCTGCACGTGAGGAGTCTTCCCATGGAGTCTTCCCGTGAGGCGCCTGCGCGTGAGGAGTCTTCCGGTGAGGCGCCTGCGCGTGAGGAGTCTTCCCGTGAGGCGCCTGCACGTGAGGAGTCTTCCCATGGAGTCTTCCCGTGAGGCGCCTGCGCGTGAGGAGTCTTCCCGTGAGGCGCCTGCGCGTGAGGAGTCTTCCCGTGAGGCGCCTGCGCGTGAGGAGTCTTCCCGTGAGGCGCCTGCACGTGAGGAGTCTTCCCATGGAGTCTTCTGGTGAGGCGCCTGCGCGTGAGGAGTCTTCCCATGGAGTCTTCCGGTGAGGCGCCTGCGCGTGAGGAGTCTTCCCGTGAGGCGCCTGCACGTGAGGAGTCTTCCCATGGAGTCTTCCAGTGAGGCGCCTGCGCGTGAGGAGTCTTCCCGTGAGGCGCCTGCGCGTGAGGAGTCTTCCCGTGAGGCGCCTGCACGTGAGGAGTCTTCCCATGGAGTCTTCCGGTGAGGCGCCTGCGCGTGAGGAGTCTTCCCGTGAGGCGCCTGCACGTGAGGAGTCTTCCCATGGAGTCTTCCCGTGAGGCGCCTGCGCGTGAGGAGTCTTCCCGTGAGGTGCCTGCGCGTGAGGAGTCTTCCCGTGAGGCGCCTGCGCGTGAGGAGTCGTCCCATGGAGTCTTCCCGTGAGGCGCCTGCGCGTGAGGAGTCTTCCCATGGAGTCTTCACGTGAGGTGCCTGCGCAGTGAGGAGCCTTCCCGTGAGGCGCCTGTTCCCGGCGCCTGGGGCTCCAGGTCCTCCCCAGCGGCGGATTCCGGGACCCCGCGCATCTGCCGCCGTCCTGTTGTGTCGGCCGCGGTCGGCGTGGTTTCCTGTGCGTTCCCGTCCGAGCGATTTCCCGCCAACCTGCGGGTCGCCCCGACCGGGGACCTTCCTCCTCTTTCCCAGGGCCTCGCGGGCTGCTGCGCGGTCCCGTCCCCTCCGGCCAGAAGCTCGCGGGGACCCCGGGGTCTGCCCCTCCGGCGCCTCCTGGTCCCTCGTCCGTTTCCTTGAGCCTGGTCCCCAGGAGCCGTCTGTTTCCGGTATTTTCACGGGTTTGCCAAGTCGCGGGCCGAGTACCCCGCCCCCTTCGGAGCCGTCCAGGGGCGCCCCTCCTGGGCCCCGCCGCCCGCGCTCCTCTCTCGTGTCTCCGTGTCGGCTCTTTGCCTGTCTCAAGACGGCCGTCCTGTCCCGCCCTCTTCTGTCCTTGAACCCGCCTGCGCCCTTTCGTGCCATCTCCCTGGCCTCTGTGTGGAGAGAGCGTCTCTTTCATTCGTCGTTTCCATTGGCCCGCTGCCCCCAAGGGCAGCCCCCGCCTCTTTCATTCGTCGTTTCCATTGGCCTGCTGCCCCCAAGGGCAGCCCCCGCCTCTTTCATTCGTCGTTTCCATTGGCCTGCTGCCCCCGGGCAGCCCTCGCGTCTCTTTCATTCGTCGTTTCCATTGGCCCCCTGCCCCCAAGGACAGCCCCCGCGTCTCTTTCATTCGTCGTTTCCATTGGCCCCCTGCCCCCAAGGACAGCCCCCACGTCTCTTTCATTCGTCGTTTCCATTGGCTCGGCCCCCGCGTCTCTTTCATTCGTCGTTTCCATTGGCTCGCTGCCCTCCCCCCCCAAGGACTTCTTCGCAGCTTAGATTAGTGGCCGGGAGATGAGTTCATGGCTGCAGTGGAAACAACAGCCTCAAGTGCAGCCGTTTCTCCGGAAAGTGATGCTTACGAGTGTATGCGGGGTCGTCGCTGTGAGCCACAAGCGATGTTGTGTGGGTAGTGAGACATCCGGTGGCTGGACCTGAACCACACGGGGTTATTTGAAAGCAAAAGGAACCCGAACGAGACGGTACATTTCGGCAGTTCCTTCAAAGCCCTTGTTCTGTTCTTACTGTTTGCAGATTGTACCGTGCCTCCCCCACGAAGACAGACCGAGATTCTGATAGGCTCCTGGTCTGAGCAAAACTACCAGGAGGGCACGAAGGCCACCTACAAGTGCCGCCCTGGCTACCGGACGTACGGCCTGATCACCAGGGTGTGCAAGGAAGGCGAATGGGTGGCCCTTAACCCGTCAAAAACATGCCAAAGTACGTAATTCACGCATTTGTGAAATTTACAGAAGCGTGGGGAAATACTGAACGTTTAATACTGTGGCAATACTGGCGGGATTATATCCCTGTCACATTTAAAGACGGAAAGTGTATTCCTAAAGCGGGGTTGGGGGGGGGGGGGGGGACATCGTCCAGATTCCCAAAGCCAAGCATAGAGGTAAGTTCAGTTCTAAAAGAATGACGTGGCCATTGTTCACTTTTCCACATCTTCAATTCTGTCCTAATATAATATCGAGTATCCCTGTCCCCGAAGTCTTGTAAAATGTTCCCCTGCGACATCCTGGTACTATGCTTCATCGTAGCCTTTTCTTCCTTTCAGAAAAGCCCTGTGGCCACCCTGGAGATACTTCCTTTGGTTCATTCGAACTCGTCGTAGGAAATGCATTTGAATACGGTGCCAAGGTAGTTTACACATGCGATGACGGGTAAGCAGTCACTACAAAACCAGGTTTGAGCCCTGGCTGGTTTGGCTCAGTGGTTGGAGCGTCAGCCTGAGGAACAGAGAATCCCGGGTTCGGTTCCCACTAGGGGCAGGTACCAAAAAAACAAAACAAACAAACAAACAAAAAATCACAGGTTTGTGATTGAGGTGATTGATAATTGATGTGGTCAATAGCAACTGTCCTAATTTATATTTTTAAGATTACCACATTTTTCTATGAGTCTTTTTATAGGTACCACACACATAACTCCCAGAATTGCAAATTAAATGATAGAAATGGCTATGTCTGGATACCATGGTATCTCCTCAACGCTGAAAAATTACAATAAATTATAATTACCCTGTTAGAGAGTAGTCACAGGAGGGTGGGAAGAGAGAATACGAATACATAAGGGTTCACCCCAACAGGTCCTTGCTACATTCCATTGAGTGCAGAGAGGAAAATGCATAGAATTTTACTTTTCCTTCAAGTGGAGTTTGGACATTCAGCATAGTATCAAGTTTAAAATGGTATATAAACACACATCAGCTCACTAGCCTGTTATTTTTGGTTTCCAGGTACCAAATGATAGGTGACATTGATTTCCGTGAATGTGAAGTAGATGGATGGACCAATGACGTTCCTCTATGTGACGGTAGATAAAATACTAAAAACACCTGAGATTTTTTTCTAAATGTCTTACATTAAAACATCCTTAAAAATCTATAATTAAATATTTCTTACTCAAATATTTCTTACTACAGCTAGCCTTTTTACTGCTGCATAATTTTGTGTTTCAATAACCAAATAAGTCTACAACCTCCTCTGATCTGACATTTACCCTATCAGAGTTTAGGAAATGTAAAACTTGTTTATCTTTCCTTTTAGATTCTAATCTCTAGAAAGAACACAAGGATCACTATTTAAATGATCAGAAGTTCAGCTTTATGAATGACAAGGCACTGGTCCCATAACCACTCCAAAGGATGTCTGGTTTCAGCCGCAGTGCAGAAAGTGACTTAGACCTCTCTCCCCTTTTGCCTGACCAGGGGAGATTTCCTGTGGTCTTAGTCTCACTGAAAAGAGTGGGCTCTTCCCTTTCTTACTGACCTATAACACAGAAAGTGACAGTGGGGAAATGCAAATCCTGTTTCCCAAATTTGAGCTCGTAATCCCAGTCTGGTCATCATGGACATGAAAGAGATCAGTCTGATTAGGGTTTCCCCATTCCACTGTGATGAGGAAGGAGAGAGGGAGAGAGAGAGAAGCAGAAAGAGAGGGAAGGGGGCAGGGAGGAAAAGAGAAAAGGAAGGAGAAAGAGGAGGAAGAAGGAGAGCAGAAATGCCATAACGCACACAAAAACAAGAGAATGGAAGACCTTTTCTCTCCGGGAATGAGAGGAAGGAGACCCATGTTCTAGGAAACATCTACATTGGAAGCACCTGGAGTGTTTGTTAAGAACTGAAGTTCGGGGTTACGAAGACCTACTGAATGGTTATCTGTGGGGTGATGGGCAGGGAGATAGTTATAGACTTTCCATTTTAGGAAGCATCTTGGGTCACTACGTAAAGTGAAGTCTGAACACCACAACTTAAAGGATATTGGAAAATATTACATAACATCTAAAGAAGCACTCAGATTATATTGAACGGTAATGTGGAGGAGGAAAGACATTTTAAAATCACTTCCCTGTTGAAATAAGTATAATCAAAAATTTTGCTGTTATATCTTTGGGAAGACAGTGTTATATGATTGTGGGACTTAAGTGGAAATTTCATATTTAGTTATCCCAAGGTTGATATTTCTCAGTTACTTAAGAAACACTTGTTTGTTCCTACAAAAACATAAACTGTCATTCAGAGTAGTAGTTTTCTCTGTCCACTTCCATAGAAAAATATCAGAGACAAACTCAATATTGTCTTTTTGTTTGGCAAATTTATCTCCAGCAAACAGGTGTATTGAATGCTTCTTTGCGGGGGGGGGGGGGGGGGCATGCTTAAGTCATTTCCCCCAATCTTACCTTGCTGGTTTTTGTAGTCGTATATGTATGTATACATATTTTTCATGATAAAGTTTTCAAATTCTATATTTCTTTTTCAGTTGTTAAGTGTTTACCAGTAACAGAGCCACAGAATGGGAAAATTATCAGTGGTGCATTCGAACAGAACCAGGAATACACTTTTGGACAAGTGATCGCATTTGAGTGTGATTCAGGCTTCAAGCTCAATGGACCAAAAGAAATACATTGCTCATCGAATGGCATTTGGAGCGGAGAAAAGCCAGTTTGTGTGGGTAAGATACCCCTACTGTTCATTGGATTTGGGGGATGATTTTGGTTTTCCTCATGAAAATATGCATTGCAAAACACTGTGCCTCCGAAATAATCTAAGTGATACTGATACTAAGTAACATTTATTGAGCATTTACTATTTCCCAGTAATTCATCTAAATTCTTTATGTGTGTCATCTCATCGCATGTTCAAAATGACTTCAATCATTCCTGTACCATTTCACCTTGGTTTGTTTATTGTTGTTTTTAATTCCTCACCCGAGGATATTTTTCTATTTCTCATTAGATAGAGTGGGAAAGAGAGAGACAGAGAGAAACATTGATGTGATAGAGCCACATCGACTGGTTGCCTCCAGTGGGATCAAACCCGCGACTCACTGGTCCATGGGCCGACGCTCTAACCACTGCGCCAAACTGGCCAGGGCTCACGTAGGTTTTATAATTAAGGAAACTGTGGTGCCAAGAAGTGAAATCCCAGGTCCATGGGTATGTGGCACAAAGAGGAGAGTGAATATCCAAACCTCAGTGAGCTGCCACCAAAGCCCATGCTCTCGGCCCTGATTAAACTGTAGTTGGCTCTAAGGCTTAAAATAGAGCAGTGACTTTTCTGCTGCAGACCCGAGTGTTGCCCTACACGACAGACTTTCTTTTTGTTCTGTTTGTTTAAAGCCAAAGAATTGTTATTTATTTCCCATGATGTATAAAGATGGCATTGTTTTTTAGTAACACGTCTAGGAAGCGAATGGTTTGTATTTGCTCTATGTTTATTATCAATATTGCTGAACTAAATTGAATTCGTTAAATACATTTTTGTTTTTAGAAAACAGATCTTTAGTAACCTGTAAGTGAAGAATTCTTTAAAGTACAGTGTAACAGTTGTAGTCAATAATGTTTTAATAACTCTGGTTGGTGCCGGGTAGGTACTGGACTTACCAGGGTGATCACTTCGTAAATTAGATAAGTGTCTAATCACTGTGTGATATACCTGAAACTAATATGGCAATGAAAAGATCTTTTCAACTTAAAAAGAATTCTTTGGTTATAAACCACTAACTTGTGTATCATGACCAATACAATGATTTTGGCTTTCATAATGAAACACTTTAGTTGATTTATTTAAAGTGACATACTTTTGTTTGACCAACACTTTTCTGGCAGGGATTTCTGCCATATTTATTTTTAACATTACCTACAATCTCCAAATTATATATACTTTCTTCGTCTAGTTCTACAAGGAGATGCACAGAAAAACATTCCTCTTCTTAAAAGCTTTTTCTAACAAAACTAATTCTTCAAGGCAGTAATGACAAGTATTTATATTCAGTGTGGCAAACACTGTATACTCTAGAGGTTTACGGACGGGGTTTACTAGTTACAACTAAATTTCTGTGGCCATTGAAAGCTTCCTGGGGTGACTAACGTCTAAGGTATGTCCTAAGCGGAGAATGAGACTTCTGTGGATGAAGTGAAGGGAAAACCAGCCCAGGCAAAGGAAGCCCATGCAGAAGTTGTACACATGCCCCTGTCCCCATTATCCTCAGGCCCCCGATGCAGGATGTAAATAGGGAAGGTCAGTGATGGACTGAAGATGGGCCGGTAGAAGGTTCTGAGATGCTGAGGAATTCTACACCATGCTGAAGACTTTGGCTTTTATTCAGGCTGAATTGGGAATCAATGAAGGATTTTAAGTGGAGCTGTGAATTGACAAGAAAAAAAGATCATTAAGTTACAAACAAAAAAGAGCTTGGAAAGGTGGTAGAAGAGGATCTGGGAATTTCATTCTTGGGGCTCTAATCCCAAGGGGAAAGGTTTGAAAGGAGATGGTTTCAAAAATGATGGCGAGTGTTTTTTTGATAGAAAACTTAGATGGATGTAAAACCACACAAGTAGAAGGTCCATCAGTTATTGGAGCTGTAATGACAATGAGATAATTAATTTTTTGGCAAAGTCAATAGTGATAATTACTGTATTATGTGTAACTAGAACATATGTAATTCTGCAGCTTACTCAGGGAAAATGCCTATCACAATAAGCTTATAGATGTATTCAGTTTTATATATACAGTTGATGAATGTTACTGCTACTATCTTTTCAAAAGGACCAGCTTATCCTCCAACCAAATAGAATTAGAAACATAATTGTAGTCAGAATTCGACTTCTTTCAAAAATGATTGTTAAGAAAGAGCAACAGACAAATTCATCAAGAATTCAAGTCAGGACAGAACTGCTGCTGGGTTGCCTGCTTCACTCAGTGGAAACAGAATTTATGTCTTTGTATAACTGGGTTTCAGACACAGTCCTTTAATCTGTAACAAACGTTTTGGAATTTAATCCCTTATATTTAGGAATTTCCTGCGAAGTACCAAAAATTGCAAATGGAGAAGCTATATCTACTAAGAACTCTTATAAGGAAAATGAAAGACTTCAATACAGATGCCGCGAGGGTTATACTTACAGTGACAGGGCAGAGGCTGTTTGCACCCGGGATGGTTGGGCTCCGTCCCCGTCATGCATAGGTAACGTCGTATTTCTCTTCTCTGTCGTTCACTGTATATTCTGCGCATTGTTTAAATGGACTTCACGCCCTGTGCCTCAGAAATTACGTCACAAATACTCCTTGTCTTGCCACAATGGAAAGATCTACTTGCCCATAGTGAAGAACTCATTTTCCCCAAACCTATAAGGAATTAGAAACTAAATAATAAAAGAAATTTTGAAATAAAATAATGTAGGATAAAAAAAACTTAACTTATCTCCTGTGTATGATTTGTGTCAGGGTTTTATTTGAGTGTAATGTATCAAAACTTCAGTCTCCGTGTCCAAGTCATACACAGGAATGATGAAAAATACCAAGACCTGCTAAACAAACACCACCTTGGATCCCTATACGAACTGGATTTTCTACTGAGTCACAACATAGAGTGCTAGTAATGAATTATCGTTCTTATTTAAAATCTCAATGGTTGTCCCTAATGGTACAAAAAATGTGGCCTCACACATTTGGACAATCTGAGATGTTCTTATTTTGGATAAAGGCACCTGCCCTGGAAATGTTTTATCAGCACCATTTATTTTAATGGAGATTATGAAAGTAGGGAATTGAAAGTTGTCAAGGAATTTATGCCCCCTGCTTGAAAACAACCACCAGCGTTCTTCCACTATATTAATTGGACAAAATTCTCCCGATATTATTTGGTTGATTTCTCAGTGAAACTTGTTTTTATATATATCTCGTAGCTTTTGACTTCAAACATCGGTGTTAAGTTTAGCTACCACCAATGAAAACTGGACTGCAATGGGAATTTGAAAATATGATAAATGTGGCAGACTGAAGTGAGAGAACAAATTAATATAATTAAGGTTCATTTGAAGTTAGTGTCAATTAACATCCAACACTGGAGATATATTTTTCTTAAAACTTGTGTTTAGGAGGTCACATATATTTTCTATTATTTTTAATATAATCATTGCTAATATATGTAAGTATATTCATTATCACCTTAGCAGCAGAAACGTTATCAAAGCTTACTCTGGCAGAATGAAGTGTGAATTTAAAACCAATTGAGAAATTACCACAGTGGCTCTAGGAACTAAAGGTACACTGTAGAAGAGTGGTATGGAGAAGAAGAGATACATAACCAAGAATTACAACTTTAGAGAATGTGGTGTCTGACTGAATATTGGAGTGATGGGAGGAAGAAAATTGGGGTACATTTGCAGACTTGGCTTCTGTCATGGGGTCCTTGGTCAGGAATTAAAATATTGAAAGAGAGATGATAATTTAAGTTTGACATATAAGAAGTTTGATATGCACATGGACCTGTCCAGTATGGAGCTGAAGTCGGATATATGGATTGGAATCTCCCACAAGAAGTTGTTAACATAACAGTAGTAGCTTTTTTAATCATAAAAAGTGTCTTGAATCACACAGAGACTGTGAAGAGAAAACCAACAAAGTCAAGGATAAATACTCACGTTGAGTCAGAGCTATATATCCACACATCCATCGGATCTTCAGGGAGGGTGTTTGTGGGATGGTGGTAAGAACGAATAGGATGGTCCAGAGCGGAATCATTGAAGAAATAAGAAATGGAAACTGCACACGGTTAGGAGTAAGCTTGGTGTGTGAGGACCAGAGAGAAGCTATTGTGTTGGTAGCACAGTGAGCAGGGTGGAAAGTGGTAGGAGATGAATTATGAGTAGGCAGGGCCTAAAATGTAGTGGAATAAACAAATTAACACACTGTTGTTCATGCCGAGATAAGGAGCGGTAGGAGAAAATAGGAAAGCATTGGAGAACTTCAAGAAGTCAGTGAACAACTGTGTCGAACATTGCAGAGGGTTTTTATCTATTCCGTTCAACAAACAATTGAGGAGCCCATAGTCTACACCAGCCACCACAACATGTGGAATATAGAGAGTTTGGGGCTTTGGAAACGGGAGGACTCTGCTGACTTTGGCCAGAGTGGCACCATCACAAGGGAGATGACAGAAGCCAGAGAGCCATAGGTTTAAAAATAGATGTGAGGTTGGAAAGTGGAGAGAGCAATTATAAAATGGCATTTTAAGGATCTTGGTAGTGAAGCAGAAAAGAAAGATAGTACGTTTAGCTAAACTTGGACAAAGGGTTGAGAGAAGGAGGTTAATATTGGAGAAGCATGTGCCTCCATTAAAGAGAGTTTAGTTGACAAAATAAGACAGATGGAGGGGATGAACAATGGTTTGTGACCCAAGGGAACATGAACAGGTTGAGAAGTTTGCTTGAATATAAAATAATATCTTATCGTCAAAGTCTGAAAAAAAAGGTTCAAGTTCAGAAAAGGTACAGCTAACCTAAAAGAGAAGTTAGAGAGATCTGGAAAACCTATAGCTGGTTGTCTCAATTGTTTTCTGAGAAAGTAAAGACTTATTATCTATCAGTGAAGTGCAATTATGTTAGGTGACTTGAGTAAAATAAGACTATTGGTCACTTACTCTGAGAGAGAGAATAGGAAGTAAATGAGGGTCATATTTAGGCAATGCTGAATGTCCACCACAGGTTCTGAGTCCAGAAGACAACACAACACGACACCAGTATAAATGGTTATATAACATTTCCACAATAGTTAAAAAGCATGGTATGAATTATCTCAGTCTTGGTCATCTTAACACAATGTATATTTCTATCAATTCATCATGTTCCACCATTTAATACATGCAATTATATCCATCAGTTCTTCCTGAACAAAGTTGGAAAAACAAATTAGTTAATTGAATTGAAAAAAAGGTATTGTATTTTATTATAAAAGTAGTATTGCAAGTTGATTCGTTGTAAAATATAACAAAGCTGATAAAAAAATTATTTTGAAGACTGAGAGAAGGAGCTTTATAAATTAGAATAGACCAGGTTCAGGGTATAGAACGCAGATCAAATCCAGCCTGCCCCCCCTTTGGAAACAAGTTTTATGGAAACACAACCAGTTCCATTTGTTTATTAATATTTGTTGCTACTTTTTTCACACAAAGGTAGAGCTCAGTGGTGGCAATAGAGACTTTTTATCTGGTCCTTTGTCTAAAAGCTTTTCTGAACCCTGGACAAGCTTATCCCATTACATTGAGAAAAATATGTTCCAGAATATCATTAGCCTCATGAACTCAATTGAATTTCCTCTCCGCACCCACTTCCAGTGTAGGTCATATGGGACTCTGCTCTTTCTGTTAGTTGTAAGAATCAGAACACAGAGACATGGCCTTTCTGGGTCTTTGTGTAATCACTACTCCAGTGGGAAAGAAAGATAAAAATTCACGCAACGGCTGTTAGAACTTCCTTCCTACAAAGAAACATACAACTGCCCCCCGCACTGCATTGCCGCATTCAGGGCAAGGAGGAGAGGGAGGACGGCACTAGCCCAGGCCGTGCGGGAAGAGGAAGCGCAGTTGCAGAGGTGGACGCTGAGCTCATGGCCACACAGGGAGCACGAGGAGGGAGGAGGTGGCCTTGGGGAAAGGGATTCGGAGGGAGGGCACAGCACTCCAGGCGGGGTGTGAGGGGGGCCGGGGGTGGGCGGACAGCCGCTGTGCTCATCTCTGTGCCATTTTGCTGGATGGCGAGTCAAAATATGACACCGCTTTATTCTCCTGTACGTGACTGTTTTCATGGGCAGTGATTTGTCCATGATCCACGTGTCCTTGTTCTTTTCAGAAGTTACATGTGATCCTCCAAGATTTGCAAACAGTCACTACACTCCTGACAGGACCAGGTACAGACTGGGACATGTAATCACATACGACTGTAAAAGTGGCTTCTATCCCCCACCCCGAGGAAATACTGCAAAATGCACTCCTATAGGCTGGGATCCTCCTCCAAGATGTAGCTGTAAGTTGCCGGCATATCTTGACCTGCTTCTTAATTCTGAAATTACTTCTCTTAAATGTAATGGGAACCTAATCAGTCCAAATCTTTGCCTCAATGAGAATGTAAAGCCGAAAGGATTTAATCCTTTTTCATTGATTTTGTTGTATTTTTTAGAGAGAGAGGAAGGGAGAGAGAGAAACAGAGATGTGAGAGAGGAACATCAATCGGCTGCCTCCTAAAGCAGAGAGAATCTAGAGGCATCTTTACTTTTAAAGGAGCCAGTTCGACTTAATATCATAGGCATATCTTTGTCAATAAAATGAATTTTAGCTGTCTAATGTTAAGTATGTGTATATGTGTGTATGAATACATATTTCTCTCACTAATTTTCAAATGTGAATTAAAACATTGTGTAAGCCTGGCAGGTGTGGCTCAGTGGCTGAGCGTCGACCCCTGCACCAAGAGGTCAGCACTTCGATTCATGGTCAGGGCACATGCCCAGGTTGTGGGTCCAACCCAGTAGGGGGGCATGCAGGATCAGCCAGTCGATATTTTCTCTCATTGAGGATTCTCTCTCTCCGTCTCCTTTCCTCTCTCTCTAAAACTCAATAAAGAAAAAGAAAAAAACATTGAGTAAGAACTGTACCACTTAACCCCTACTACATCAGGTGTGACCTCTGCGTCACCATTTCCCCCAACATACGGCCTTCAGTCCACAGCTCTGGGTCTCAGGGGTTGCAGGTCGGGATGTGGGAGCAGCTGGGCGGCCGGCTCTGGTCACTCCCGCTGCTGCCCTGGAAGCTGCCCAGGCTGCAGGCAGAGGCTGGGCCGGGCTGCAGGATGTGCTTCCCAGGGGGGGCCCCGAGTTCTAGCAGAGCCTCAGTGACCAGCCACCCGGGCATCTTCATGGTAGCTCGCTTCCCCAGAGCTGGGGACCTCGGAGACCTGGAGGACGCGTCCATGGTGCTCACGACCTGGACACACACTGTCACCTCGGCTGGACGTGCCCTTCAGAGGAGACTCCCTGAGTCAGCCCTCACTCCAGGGGAGGGGAATTGGGTTCCCTGTAGGAGGCAGGCCTGTGGGAGACATTGTTGGTTTTCTAGAACCATCACATGTCACGAGATGCCACTCAGTTCCACAAGGGATTTAATTTCTGGAGGTGTTGCTTTTGCCCTTTTCAGGAGGATTCTGTAGCTACAGTCACATGCATTTCTTCATGTGTCATTGTCAAGGGCTCCACACTGAAGCTACATCTTCCATGAATGAAAAATGGAATGATAGAAATAATAGGTCAGTGTCCTCAGTGTTAATTCAAGGCCAAGCCCAAATGAATGTTGAAAGTATGATCCCCTTAAAGAGGACACTTGAAACAGTTTCATACCACATGAAATAGACCATAGTGTGCATAACAATTACCAGGGACATGATTGTTTATTGATTGGTTGATTAAGATAAATTTGACATAAGCATTATATTTGTTTCTGGTTCACAATATAATGATTCAGTATCACAATACATTGTGAAATGATCAGAAAACTATTATTTACATCACCTGAAGATTATAATTTTTCTTGTCCAAGAAACCCTAATGAAATGAGTATTATTATGTTAATAAAAGAATGTAATTCTCGGATGAAACCATTTATCTCTCGTTTGATCTCTGTTCAAGTAAAACATTACTTATGTTGTTTGTTTCTTTCTTTCCATTGCAAGTTAAGCCCTGTGAATATCCCGAAATTAAACATGGACGGCTGTATAGGGAAGATAGCTATAGATCATACTTTCCAGCACGTGTAGGACAATGGTTTTACTATTCCTGTGATTACAACTTCGTGCCTCCTTCAAAAGAAACCTGGGGTCGCATTACTTGCACAACACGAGGATGGTCACCGGAAGTGCCCTGCCTCCGTGAGTCCCCTCTTCACCCCGTGTATGGAGATATTTCAGAGTGGACAGAGCGACACACAGTGAGGACTCTTGAGCCTGGGTGACAAGAGCAGGTGGAGGGATGACTTCTATGAGCAGAGACCAACATAGGACTCTTCTCTCCCAAAGGTTCTTCCTAAAACCATGAGAGATGAAAATAGACTCTACGAGAATACCTATGTCATTTATAAATAGTTTAATTGTGAAAACTAAGATAACATTTCATAGTGATTTTTAAAAGGACATGTGATAGCACCTACAGACTTTCTTAATTTGCATGTTATGTTTGGATCCTTCTGCATTCTAATTTAACTCTTATAAAGATAATTTTAATGTATTATTTTAACGAAATTTATGATTTTTCATTATTATTTTGTCATTCTTAGGAAAGTGTGTTTTCAACTATTTGGAACATGGAGATTATCCATATTATCCACAAACTCACCTCCAGGGCGCATCTGTCCTGGTGAACTGCCACCGTGGCTTCAGTCTCCAAGACCAGCAGACTACCATGACCTGCACAGAGGGTGGCTGGTCCCCTCCGCCCAGATGCATGCGTGTCGGTAAGAAAAGTGCCCTGAGATCCGTCTGTGGGATTTTCCAGGACACACCTGTGATAACTGTGGCAAAAGGTGCTACCTGCTCTTGTTTTGCTAGTAGACCTATGTGACTAGTTTTTCACCTGTGAATGAGTGGAAACGCCAAGTTTTTGACATAGAGTTAGCCAATTAAAGAAGCCTGTTGGTACACATGAAATTAAAAAACAACACACCAACACACCACAATGAGGAATTCTGTAATAACAGGGTGTGGTGTCCAAATGGCAGATCAGACCTTCTGTGGTCTTCCCCACAAAGGACACCGAGTATGACACTCACCGCTGGGTGGGAGCATCTTTGTGGGGGTCCAGGAATCTAACAGAGAAGTTCACACACCATTGGAGCAGAAAGATCCAAGATGGGATGTATTGAAGAGGCCAGATCAACATTTCCAGCTCCCTGAGTTACCCCTCCCCTACCGTGTGCCTCTTGGGGATTTGGGCTTGGACCTCGAGTCTTACAGGTCTTGTCTTTTGTTTTGGAAGGTGAAGGTCATTAGTGTCAACTCGAACCACTCAAGTTTCTTTTTATAAGCCTGGCGTGGGGAGCCTTCACACAGAATAGTTTACTCAGAATATGAACGAATGAATACGGCCTCTTCTGGTCTCTCTACTAAATGATTTGTGTTTAAAGACGTCTTTCCAATGGGACTGAACAAACATGAATATTTTTCTAGGGCTGTGTGCCCTGGGAATCTGACATTTCTTGTTTCCTGGTAGTTCTTCCTCTGGGAGTGATTCTCTGCGCATTCCTGTGGGGTCGCCCTGCACTGTGCTGGGACATATTCCGCCATAGCATCGAGGGACGCTGTGCAGATCTGCAGGGCTCTCCTATCCCACAGTTCTCTCCACTCCGCTCATTCGATTCAAGTTTCGTGATGTCACCTCTTTGGGAGCACTGATCTTGTTTCTTCTGTTCACCATGACTGACCTGTGGTGCTGGGGTGTCTCCCTGTGCTGTACCCTGGAAAATCCCTCCTCCCAGTGAAGCCGACAGGAGACTAGAGCTCACGTCGCTTTCCTGGGTCTCTGGGCGCTGCGGGCAGGCGTGAGGTGTCCATGTGCCTCACGAGGCTGCTGCCCTAGATTTGCTTCAGTTTCCTCGTCAGTATGGCTGGCACCCTCATTATTCTTTCCTTCTGTTTCTCCATTTTTATAATGTTTGTCATGAACTACTTTTCAACTCTATACGTTTTCTCCAGAGTTTGCTTTCTATTGGGCCACGGCTCATATTTTTAATATTTCCAATTGGTAACTGAAAAATGGGAATACATACGCGTGAAGTGCACAGCTCTCTGTTCTGTTATTTGCACAGGTTGAGAAAGGAGCACCAGCTCAGCCGAGGGAGCACATGCGTAGCTCACAGTTCCCACTGTTTCTCACGTGCTGAGAACACTTAAGCTCCAGCTCTTAGCAATACTGCACACAGGTCGGTCCTGGGCAAGGAGCCCTGGGGGAGCGCTCTGCATGCTGGGAGATGCCAGTGTCACCAGACAAACAGGTTCTGATGCTCCTTAGAGGGCATTCTGAGTATTTTAATCCTGCTTAGGTGCAAGCATAGTTTTTGTTGATTCAATATTTTCAGAAACTCATAGCTTAATTTCTCTGACACTATTCAACGGATAATTCACTTTTTTTTTTTAACATGTTTTCATCTACAAATTATTTTTTTTGCTGTAATATTGTTTGAGTTCTTATTAAAATGTTTAGTGACCACGTGCTTTTGTTCTCCTTATGCTCTTATCCATTTAGAAATGTGTTCAAAATCAGATGTAAAAATTGAGAATGGATTCATTTCTGAATCTCAACTTTCATTTCTCTTACACAAACAAACACAATATAAGTGCAAAGACGGTTACAGAACAGAAGCGGGTCAAACATCAGGATTTATAACCTGTCTCCGCAGCGGATGGTCAGAGCAACCCAAATGCATTAGTAAGTCGTTCTTGATGAATTAGTTCATTATATTAATGACTGTTAAACCAAAGTTACCTTGAACTGAATTCTTTTTCTTGGCGTGACAGAAGGTAACGTAGTTCTCTTTGAAAAGATGAATGAAAAGTTTTTGAGAAAACATGCAAATTATGCCTTTTAAAATGAATTACTGTTAGTGTAGATATAAGTCCATCTTTAGTTCAAGGTGTTTCCACCAGAAAACACCCTGTGATTGGCAGAGGGGGGAGGGAGCTTTTCCTGTGTTTTGATGACGGCTCCTCTGCTATTAGCTGAGAACTTCGCCTGTTGTCCCTGTTTTTAGGGGATCAGACTTTTATGTCAGCGTGTTTGACCCTAGACATAAAAGTTAAATTTTTAAGTGAAAATATAGAATCCTAGCACATAATTTTGGTATAATCTCACCTGTGTCATTTATGTGTTTGAGACTGTAAGGTAGGTCCTTTCTGAAAAATCATTCCCTTTGGGACACCCACTGAAACATGCAGTTAGTGGACACGGCCAAAGAGTATACAGACCGGATTCTACTGTGTTGAAAATTTCTCTGCTCTACTACCTGGATGTTTAGGATACTGTTTTTAAAAAGTGTTTTCTTATTTCATTCATCCCAATGCCACGCAGTGATATTTTTATTTACTTTAAGTAAAGTGCATATTTAAATGTCCGTTTCTATTATTTTCATGTTATAATTTCTGTTCTTAACTATGGGAGCTAGTTCAAAGTAAATGATAACGGTTGCTTCCACCGCAAACTTATCTTAGAGTAATTTGTGACCAATTATTCACTACAGCACTCGTATTTGGAAAGAAAGAAATATATCTGTTATTATTTTTACTATTATAGGTTTCCTTTATCTTTTTAAAGTTTCAAACTAGCTGGCTACATAATATGTTACAAAATTTCAGGTAAACTATTTAAACCTTTATTAACATCACTCCAGTATAGTGTTAGTGAAAATTGAGACTACATTTTAACATTTTACTTTCTTATACTAATTATATACCTAGAACTATTTCTACATTCTGTCTTGACAAGTATTAAAGAATATCCAAACATTAAGAAATATTTAAAAAGACTAAATTAGTATCTTAGCTTTAAAAATTTGTATGTTTAAAGTAAGGTTTTCTAGAATGCATAAAAATGTACGCTCATTTTTGGAAACTAATTTTTTTGTTGAACCAATTCCTTTCCTCTGGCATGCTTGTCCCAGCGACTAATAAGTTTGCCTCTGCATTCACAAAATACTTAACAGCTCTGCTAAAAAAAGGGCAATTCATCTGTTATGGCTTCTTTTATTGCTAGCATGGAATAAATATCTCATTATAATTGATTTGAGAAAAATATTCTTTAAAACAATTTTTAGATTATTTAAATTCTAGGAAAACTGCTGTGTAGAAATATATGTTTATTTGATGAGTAACAATTTTAGGACAATGATTTATCACTGGTATTGTTAGATTATTTTATGTGATACAATTTCTTAGCATATACTAAGTGATAAAGCTTTTTTCCCTTGCGATGCAACTGAACGCAATTTAATGTCCGTGACCTAATATGGAAACTGAAATTTTCAATTCTATCATGCACTAGAATCTTGTGCTATGCCAGTATTTATGAATGCCAGAGCCAAAAGTGGTGGCCCGTGGTTCAAGGTCAATGACAGGTTGACCTATGAATGCCAGGATGGATATAAAAATCAAGAAGGACAAACCACAGGCTTCATAGTGTGTGGTGACAGTGGTTGGTCTGGTACCCCCTCCTGTCAGGGTAAGTACTCTTTTTCAGGATTATCAGAATGAACAGAATTTGCTTATAGTGTTTTATTTTTAACCCATTGAAATAGTGGAGAATTATTTTTCACGAACAGTGTTTAAAACTAAGGTGTCTCCTTCTGATTTCATGTAAATATGGAGGAGAAGGTGTTTTAAGCCAAAGATAAAAATCTATTGAACCTAGTGGTCCACATACACCATAATTTGTGAATAAAGTGTAATTGTCTTATTTTTCTGAATGCAAGCTCTTATATTATGTAAAACTGGGCACTGCTGACCACACTGTGATTGTTAACAACCTCCTCAGCGGTCCCCCGAGTCTGTGCTTCCACTGCCCAGCTGCAGTGTGGGTTTCTGCAGGTGCCCAGAAGACCTCTTTATTTGCCGATTCTGAATAGTTCTGTGGATAGTCACATGAATCTCCTTTATATTTGTGGATTCGTGGTCTGAGTTCCCAGGTTGGAAATGGAACTTCAGTCTGAGGGCAAGGGAGTGGGTGCGGAGCAGTCCCACTCAAGGTGACAGTGTGTGGAAAGCTTTGAAGAGAGAACACTGTTTGGGAGACGTCAGGCGTTGTACTGAGGAATGGGAGCATTGTCGCTGGGGTTGGGCTAGAGGGAGGCTGAGGAGATGCAGAGCAGAGCACAGGTTTGGGAAACATTTTGGTGGCAGCAAACACAGGTAACGTTACTGAATGGTGGGTGTCCGACAGGAATAATCAAGCACTCCGATGTTTATTTTTAATTTTTTTGTAAGTAACCAGGTAAATGGCGATGACTTTTTGTAAGGTGGGGTGGGCAGTAGAAAGAGCACTTTGAGAAGGATATCTCAAAGTTTTGGGCACATGATGGTTGAGCTGCTGGTGGGCAATCAGAATTGGGTTTTGAACTGCAGAGTTGATTGTTTAGGACTAACCAGATCTGCATGTGATGTTACCAACACCTGAACAATGAGATCTCACTGGGAAGGAATATAGAACAAAAAAGAAGAGAATCAAGACAGAGCCCTGAGGCTCTCTGATATTAGATGTCAGACGGAAGAGGAATACAGACCAAAGTACAGAGAGAGACAAAGAGGATTCAGAAAATCAGGAGCAAAGAATGTTGGAATGAATGTTGTCATAGGTGGGGAGACAAGAAAGGATTTAAGAAAAAGGAAGCATAATAGATGAATTAGTAGTGAATTTCTTGGGGTCCATGTGGATGGGTGCCGTTTCCATCCCACGATTTGCTAAGCATGTATCTTAGGGCAACAAGCAGGCTGATTTGAAGATGTGTTCATTCTTCCTTATCTGTAAAATGTCTCACTATTGACAAGCATGCCAGTATTTAAGAAAAAACTATTCTGGTTAGTAGACTGCATTCTGTGTATCAAATTCTTCCCACAGTGCTACCATACAATAAAGTCAAAAAATTCTAATCTAATTACATTATTACGACAGAAAGAGTGGCAAATATTTCTAGTTCAGTTGATATATCCAGTTGGAAGGCAAGCAAACGATGGTGGATTTGGCTACATAGAAGCCATCAAGAAGTGTTACAGAAACAGTTGTGGATGAGGTAGATGGAGTAGAACCCACCTAGTACCTGCTGAAGGAACATGATGAGTAAGAATAGAAGAACAGTATGTGCACATAACTCTTGCAAGACGTTGGCTGTGGCAGGGACTAGGAGGTGAGAATATTGCTACCTGGAACGATACACGAAGGGAAATAGTCCTTTGAATAAGATGAGACACAAGAGCTCTCTGAACACTGAGGACGTTGTGGTCTAGAGGGAAGCAGGCAGGGACCTGTACGTGAGGTAGGGGGTCCCTGGCAAGGCGGGGGGGACAGGGAACCAGGGCTCCTGTGGAAGTCCCAGGCTTTGTGGCGATAGAGCTCCTTCCAACTGTCTGCCAGGAGGATGGGAGGGAAAGCGATGGTGAATCGAATGCTGTGGAGAAGCAGGAGTTGATCGTTCTGCTTCCCTTTGATGTAAGAGACGAGGTCAAGTGAGAGTGAGTGGTACCTGGGGGCCGGGTGCCAGGGCACAAGGCTGAGGAGAAAAGGTTTAAAAGAGAGATTTCAGAGTGAGAGAGAGAGAGAGAGGACCATTCAGGACCATGCGACATCAAGAGCACCTTGACCTCCTTGAAAATAGTCGAAGACCACAACACTGCAGTCTGGGTTGGCAGAGGGAGACCAGATGGCCCTGGATGTGCAGGCAGAGATGGGTCCTAAAGAGTTAAGATGTTATTCTAAGTAAATGCCACTCGGACTTTCCTGGTGCCCCAAGTGTGGTAAACAAAAATACCAATATTTATGTGAGCATGTAATTTATGATTGTACCATTTAATTTTTTAAATGTGAGGGCATAGTTTTGTTTTGCTCCTACCAGAAATGTAACATTTAATTTTATAAGTGTCAGTGATGAAATCAGAGCCACTGTAAGCAAGTTGATTTGACAGACAAGATTTCAGGACACACATGTTGCTATTCAAGCATCCCATGTACATTTGAAGGACCTATCAAGCCTAAGACATAATACTTTTCCAGGGAGAGCATTTATCTGGTGCCCCTCTGTATATGCAAATCCAGCAACTTATTTTTGCATGACATAGAAAGATTACTTTGGCGTTGATTAATTATATACTCATTAATTGTTTAACCTTCCCATAGAGAAAGAATGCACCATTCCAGATATAGAGGATAACTTAATTGTTCATCCCCGGAAAGAGAAGTATGTTGTTGGAGACGTGTTGAAATTTTCATGCAGACCTAGACTTAAACTTCTTGGACCAGATTCGGTTCAGTGCTACCACTTTGGATGGTCCCCTAACCTTCCAACATGTAAAGGTGAATATTTATTTTACAAATGCTCAAACAAGAATTAGACTTTGGATATCAACATTTTTCCTTCTTAATTTTCGGTTGGCTTCCAGTGTGTCTATACTCCAGTGGGTTCAGCCAGAAGTAACCTTGTTGGGTAGTAGATACCTCAGATTTCCTTATTTATGGAATTAATCTTCCACTGTGTTTTGAACTGTGAACTGGGAGTGTCCATAGATAGACGTACTGTGTCTGATGCTGCAGAGACCCCTGTGGTCCTGTGTTCCTGTACCATTCCACCACTAGTGCTGGGCAACTCAGCACGCGCCTCACCTCAGGTTCCCATCAGTGTCTCTAAACGGTATTCAAGTGTCTTGGAGTCAGTTCATCCCATAAATAACTTAAGAGTTAAAATGTGTTGATCAAATTCTTGCCTGCAAGGATAGTGTTATTTCAAATGGATTTTGTTAAATGTTTCCAGGGAATGTAAATATCGCTATAAGTTACACAATCATACTTGTTCATTGGTTTGCATATATTTTTAGACTGTCTATAATATATTCATATTTCTGGGCTTAAATATACTTTCCATTCACTGGTTTGGTATAAGTAACAGGACTGGGAGACATGAATCTGGTGTAAACACCATTCTTTTTCCTTTCCCAAGCACACTGTATTAAATTAGGTGATAAGTAATACATGAAAAGATCATCTCTCTTCATCTTACTGGATTTTAAGTTGTAAAATAGACAATTTAACTGTTGAGTACACAATATTTTTACCGTAGATGAAGTAAAACCGTGTGATCTACGTCCTGAACTCCTCAATGGGAAAGCTACAGACACACCGAAAAGTGAATACGAACATGGTGAAGTTGTGGAGTATGTGTGCAACCCCCGGTATCTGATCAAGGGCTCTAGGAAAATCCAGTGTGTCGATGGAGAATGGACAGCCTTGCCTATGTGTGTTGGTAATGTATACAAGATATCAGTATTGGACTTCAGTGAACACTTTGTGTTTATATTCCTATAAGCACATAAGTTACATTTTAAATATGTGTTTGTGGCATCTTCACAGAGGAGAACAGTACATGTGAGGCTGTACCTGTCCTTGATCACGGCTATGTCGCGTCCGAAGCACCTGCTCCCTTTCACCATGGACAGTCAGTAGAGGTCAATTGCAACGAAGCATTCACACTGGTTGGTCCTAGTTCAATGACGTGTATCAGGGGAGTGTGGACCCGACCACCTCAGTGCATTGGTGAGAGCACACTTCTAAAATTGACATTTAATTTTTAAAAATGCAATTTTGCATATTTTAACAGTTTTATTGTAAAATTCTACTCACAACCATATTTTTTTAATTTAGAGATATTATTGAAAATGTCACATTGTAGATTACTATGAATCCAAACATTGCCTGTTTATGTTCAATAGTGTCTACAGAAAAAGATGAGTAGACACAATAGAATTTTATGTATCTGTCTCTGATATTAACATTGTTTATTTTTATGTGTGAAGCTAATTTTTCCTTATATATCGACATGTGACTAAAATTTTCTCCTCCCATGTTTATTTTGTTTCTCCCTATAATCTAGTTTTTCACTTTTCTCAAGAAGTTTATTTTCTCCCAAGAAATAAGGAAATTCTTTCAGAACCAATCATGGTAGGACTCATAATCACACCTTCTTTTGGCTACAAGTCCTCCCTCAGTTTTCATCTCTTGAAGAAGAATATTCGTTTTCTCTTCCGAACACTCTGGACCAGTCCTAAAAATAAGACTCTTCCTCAAGCCTCTTGTCTCTTTTAAATCAGTCTCCTTTATTTTAGTGTTTTCTAGGTTGCGTTGCAAAATCTTTACTTTTCATTGGCCAATTACTTGACTTTTCCTTGTTCTGTTCAACCTCATTTAACTCTCATTGTTAACAAATTATTGACAAATATTCCTTAAAACCTACACTGATATCTTGTCAAATTAAAAAATTTCGGCCATCTACATTGCAATCGGAAATATATACTTATATATGAATGTTATAGTCTATTCATAACTCATCCTGAAGGCAGCAAAAATGTATTAGTATGGCATTACAATATTATTGGATTATAGGATGATCTAGTGTAAAAATAGCTTCTCAAAGATTCTAAGAATATATATACAAAATATGTTATAGTTTAACACCCAATTTCATATTCCAGTTTTTGTGATCATGACAAAACTATGCTCAAATATTCACATTCAATACACTACACCTATGATCAACTTCTCTTGTTATTTTACATTAAATGTATTGAAAAATGTAATTAAACAAATACATATATTCTATTTCCACAGATAATTTTTTTCTTCTACCATTTTAAGATTACAGATTAAAAATAATATAGAGATATTTGAGATCAGAAAATAAATGGATATGAAAATTTTCACAAATCTCAAATGGGAGCAAATTTAGACATGTGATGACTGTTGACTATGTAGATCAGACAAGAAAGTGAACCTCTACATTCCTGCAGTCCCCAAAGTGCAAAATGTCTTTAGGATGGTTATTCTTCTCTGAAATTTCAATACTAGGTATAGGACTATGTTTCTAATAGAGCCCATCTCATGCAACATGATCAGGAATAACTTTGCTAGTGGGTTTTATAGACCTAAATTCTGATTTCATTGTAATGTGAACTCTAGAGTTATTTTCTATGTTAGTTGCTTGTATTTTCATAGACACTGTTTTCAATGGAATATTTTCATTGTAGACACAAATGAAGTTAAACAGTGTAAATTAACAAAGTCCATGGCACGTGAGACAAACCTGCCAGAGAAGAATGTCTATGACCATAATGAGAGAGTTAACTACATTTGTGGAAGGAAGTCAGAGAAGAAACACTCAACCTGCACCAACGGAAGATGGGACCCGGAAGTGACCTGCACAGGTGAGCTCGTGTGGATGAACTTCCAAAATGTGCTGTTTCTTCGTACCGCGTGGAAACAGTCTCTCTGTCTCTTAAACGTTTTCATTAACTATGTATTATTAGAAATAATTTCGCAGCTGGAAGGTAATTTAAAAATAACCAAAACACTGTTTCTAAATATTAACTATATCCTGTGCATTGGTCAGCATAGACATAATATTAGAATTTGATCTTTTAAGATGTATTGTGACCAGCCATTTCACTTATTGGATTATTTTAAAATATTTTTAAGGTATGAGTTTTCCTCAAGAAATCTAATTTTAATATTTTTAGAAGTACCAAGGTGTCCACCCCCACCTCAGATTCCCGGATCGCAAAGGGTGACAACTACAGTGAATTATCAAGAAGGAGAAAAGATCGCTGTTCTCTGTCAAGAAAGTTTTCTGATTCAGGGAGGAGAAGAAATGGTGTGCAGGAATGGGACTTGGCAGTCAGTCCCACGCTGTGTCGGTCAGTAGTGCGTCCTGGGTTTACAACTGTCTTTCAAATGAGGGGACACTCCCTGGTGCTTTGTGTGAAGGAACAAGATGAAGCCCCCTTTCTGCATCCATTTCACTCCACCGGAAACAGCACAGTACAACCCGGTGCAGAATCAGTCAGCAGTGCTTCACGTCTAACGTGGATGCACACAGACACTTGGCTTACTGTGGACATACGGGATACAGTCTCTCTTATGTGTATTTTACTCCCCAAGAGGAACAGGGGGAGACTGTGGGGTGAATAGAACAAATGGATAGTAGTATTGGTTTAATGGAGACATATATCTGCATGTTTCAATTATTTGTAGTTATTAAATAATTAATTTGTTCCAGTTATCCTTATTTTAAAACCGCAAACAGCATTGGGTTTGGTTTTTCTACTTAAACATCACCTTAGTGTTGACCCTTTAACTTCTGTTGTCATATAGAAAAAACTCCATGTTCTCAAGCACCTAACATAGAACATGGACACCTCAATTCATCTCGATCAGAAGAAGAAGGAGAAGAAACACGGGAGCCCGGGCGATATGCACACGGCACCACCTTGCGTTACGTCTGTGAAGATGGTTTCAGGATACCTGGGAACGACAAGATAACGTGCCACCTGGGACAGTGGAGTGCCCCTCCGCAGTGTGAGGGTAGGGCCCGCAACCACATGCAAATTCTATCTTTGGTACAGTTTATTTAAGTAATCAATTGCCATCAAAGTCCTGAGATGTAATTCTTTAGATTTATAAATATACAGACCCATGTACATGTTTAGATGTCATTTCTATATTAACATATTGCACCAAACAATTGTAGAAACAACCCTGTTCCCGTTAACTTTATTGGTACATTATGAAATTACTTTCAGTTCTTGTGTTTTTTCCTACTAAAACCGTAAGTGCAGTGAAATTATACCTACCTGTTCATACAAGCATACCTACTCATAGTCCTACATATTCATGTGGGTTATAGTGGAGGCTTTGCCACAGGGTTTTTTTAATTCATGTTCTGCCTACAATATCCCTTCTATTTCTTACATATGAGACTTTTCTTAAGATGATGAATTCTCATGCGTTTCTTTGTATTACTCGTGATTGGTTAGAGAAGCACTTATAGTCTCTCTTAAATATGTTCACATGTTTATTTAAAGTTCTTGCTCAAGTTCTCAGCTGGACGCTTGCCATAAGGGGGGTTTTAGGAAGCATTTGGGCACCTTCTCTGTGGTGTGAATTTAGCACCTGTGTGATCATTTTGTTCAAATCAAGGTACCAAATATGACACACAGTGTATGTAAGAAATGTCACAGTTAGTGAAATACCCAGTTATTCTTTTTTAAATGTTTTTTAGGACTCCCTTGTGGAACACCACCTCGGATTTCCAATGCTGTCTTACTTAACACAGGAGACCATTATCAATATGGAGATACAGTTACATACAAATGTCTCGAAGGATTTTCAACTCATGGACCTGCATCTGTAGAATGTTTAGGAAGACAGTGGTCTCACCCACCAGAATGCACAAGTATAGTGTGTTTAATTTTATTCTAAGGCTAATAAATATTTTTAATCAGTACTTTATGATATAAATTTAAACCTGCGACAATTCTAGAATTTAACAAAGTATCTCTGCAAAGCTCTGGAATCTGGCTGAGAATTAATAGGCTGAGACAATTGAGAAGTTTGCTAAGAGGACTCTAATTATTTCATTTGGCATCCTCTGTGTTCCTTGTCCAGATGCTCTCATATACATTCCCAGATATCTCATTGCTCTTCCTGTGTCACAGCTGGTCTGTGCTCCTTAGTCTCTTCATTATCACTTCACTGTTGGTTCATTCGTTGTGTCCTTTTCAGTATATAATTTCCTGAGATGTTTGATGTAATTATGGGAAACTAATTTGGACAGAAGCAAACACAGAAATATTTGTGTACTATAGGTGTCCTGCGTGGACAGACAAGAACTTGGATGTAAGAAGTTGGGTCTCAAGCATCACCTGCATGCCCATCTTTTCAGGCTTTTAAAACCATCATTTCCATGTAACATTCTCGATAAATGTAGAATCCCTCAATGTAATTAAATCAAGACTGCTAACATTTCAAGTTTTAAGAAAAATCTTGAACAGTGTGTATTAGTTAAGTATGTACTGATTGTTCCAGAGTATAATTATTGGCCAATATGTATTTCTAAAGATTTACTAAATGCGTATATGTTTTGTTGTTGTTGTTTTCAGAAACCACTTGTTCTGACCCACCTCGCTTTCGTAATGCCAAACTCACACACCAGACAAAGACATTGTATCAGCCTGGAGACAAAGTAGCTTACAGGTGTGAAGACGATTATGAAATGGACGGATCTAGTTCAGTGGAGTGTAGGGACGGCAGGTGGATAGGGGAACCACTGTGCAGAGGTAAGATGATGAAGTTTTCAAATGTATCTTTATGTGTCTTAAGTAACATGATACAGAATTGCTTCCAGCATCATTATAAAGTGGACACAGGTTCCAGTCTTGGCCTGAAGAAGGAAGGCTCTGCCTTAGCATGGAGGGATGGATGTGCCCTCAGTGGTGGACTTAGAGCCCGTAGTTCTCAGAGTGTGTCCCTCAAAGAGCTGCATCGGTATCTCCGGGGAATGGGTAGAAATGCAAATGCAAACTCACAGGCTCACGCAGACTCAGCATCAGAGACCTCGGGGTTGTCACCCTGACCCTGTTGTGGCAGTTCCTGCACATTCCACACACACATTGTTGGGAGAGTAGCTTCCGCCTCTCACTACCTGATACCACGAGTGTCACGTGACTCCATCCTGCTCACTGCACTGTCCTGGAGCACGTGGGCTCCTGGGGAGCGTGTTGGAACATTACAGATGGTCTCCTGTTTCCCTCCATTTCTGTTTGGATCATGTCAGTGATGACCTTCTGCCTTCAACTGTATGGCATTCCTCAAAGCAGGTTAATTCTAGACTCATTCTCTAAGGAAGTGGCTACTGTGCTTATTACTCTGAGGGCCAAAATTACATTTCTAAAACATGATGTTTGCAAACCAAATTCTGATACAAATAATCTCTTTATTATGAGTGACTATGTTTATCAATTTATTTTCAATTTATGTCAGTTATCTTAATTTAATGAACTTAAAGAAAATGGTCCAGAAAATAACAGCAATTTTCTTTTCATTCTTCTTTTCTTTGTCTTTTTATAAATTGTCATTGGCCCAAGAATGTCTAGTAAACTTCAAGAAAGGGTGGGAAAAGAATTGAAGATTAGAAGCTTCACTCTTACAAAAAACATGTTGGCTTTATGTCATGTTTCCAATATCCTACATGTAATTTTATGAAAATATTCAGTGTTAATGATGGATTAACTATTGATTTTAAATCCCCAGAAATATATTGGATTCTCATTTGTTGATTTGAGTTCTAAAGGATCATTACGTTAGAGACCCATTCTTTTCTTATTCTCCTTTTAAAATTTATCTTTGTTGTTGAAAGTATTGTTGATGTTCCCCTCTTCTAGCCCATGGACCCCTCCTCCCCGTCCCCCATCCCCTCCCTGACTTCACCACACTGTTGACTGTGTCAGTGGTTATGCATAAATGCATATCGGTGCGTCGGCTCCTCTCTCCCGGCCCACCCCCCGTTTCTGTTTCACCAGATGTTTCCTGTGGCAGTCCCCCCACAGTGGAGAATGCCTTCATACAGAACCAGAAGACTCGGTATCGCTCTGGGGACACCGTACGCTATGAATGCAGGAAAGCTCTGCACCCGTTTGGGAATGTAGAAGTGACATGTTTAAGTGGGAACTGGACAGAACCACCTCAGTGCAAAGGTAGGGCCCCTGATTCTCCCTCGCCCAGTTATAGAGAATATATACAGGGACAAAATGTGTTGATGTATGTAATGAAGTATTTCCTAGGGAATGAAAAATAATGCAAATAAAATGATGGTGCTTGAAGTCCAATTCTTTTTATGGACTGAATGAGTAATGAGGTAGGTTTATTGTATGAAAGCTTTGACCACATTAAAAGAGGACTTGGAACCATGGAAAATTCTCTCTGGAAAATTAAGCCATTTCTTTGTACATTCTTTGATTTCTTTCTTCAGTATCCTATAATTTTCAGAATACAGGTCTTTTTTCTCCTTGGTTAAATATATTCCTACTTACCTTTTTTAGTTGTTGTTTTTGTCGTTGTTGTTACAACGGTCACTGGGATCGTTTCCTTAGTTTCTGTTGCCGACACTGCATTATTGGTGTATGAAAATGCCATCCATTTCTGAATATTGGTTTTGAATCCAACGAATTTGTACTTTCATACCACTTTGGTCAGACATGATGCAAGACATAATTTCTTTCAATCTTGTTAAATTTACTGAGACTTGTGTTGTGTCCTAACATGTGGTTTATTTGTAAAAAAAAATTTTGTGCACCTGAAAAGAATATATATTCCACCGCTTTAAGGAGAAATACTCTGAAGATATCAATTAAATTGAACTGATCTAGTGTGTCACTTTAACCTGCTGTTTCCTGTTTAACTTTCTGTCTGGAAGATCTGTCCATTGATGCCAATGGAGTGTTAAAATCCCCTACTATGACTGCATTACTGTGGATCTCTTCCTTTATATTCTGCAGGATTTGCTTTATATATTTACGTGCTCTGATGTATGGTGCATCAGTGCTTACAAGGGTTACATATTCTTGTTGGATTGCTCCCTTTACCATTATGTAGTGTCTTGTGTCTCTTACTACGGCCTTTGTTTTAAAGACTATTTTCCAATATAAGTTTTTCTACCCCAGTTTTTCTAAAATTTTCGTTTTCATGGAACGTTTTTTTCCATTTTTTCACTATCAGTCAGTGGGTGGGTAGCTTGTAGACAGTATATTTATGGGTCATGTTTTCTTATCCATAAGCTATCTTATATCTTTTGATTAGAGCACTTAAGTAATTTACATTTAAAAGTGTTACTGATCAGTGCTTATATATTGCCATTTAGGTTTTATATGTATGTTCCTCTTTCATTTTTTATATTTTTCTCCTTCTAAAAACAGGCCCTTTAATATTTCTTGTAGTATTGGTTTAGTGGTAATAAAGTATGTCTGGGAAACTCTCATATTGCTTTCAATTTTAAATGAAAGCTTATCTGGATAGAGTAGTCATTTTTGTAGGTTCTTGCTTTGTATGACTTAGAATATTTCAAGCCAATCCCTTCTGGCCCAAAATTTTATTGTTGAATAATCAGCAGATTCCTTATGGGAGCACCCTCATAAGTAACTACCCATCTTTCTCTTACTGCTGTTAATATTCTCTCTTTATCTTTAACTTTTGCCATTTTTATTATGATGACTCTTGGTATGAGTCTCCTTGGATTCTTCTTGTGCAAGACTCTCTGTGTTTCCTGGACTTGTGGGTCCTTTTTCTTCACCAGGCTAGGAAAGTTTCCTGCCATTATTCTTCAAACAGGCACTTGATCTCTTCTTCAATCTCATCTCCTTCTGATATCCCTATGATGAAGATATTGTTATGCTTTACGTTGTCCCAGCGGTCTGTTAGACTTTCCTTTTTTATTTTAAATCCTTTTTTGTTTTTGTTGCTCTGCCCAGGTGTTTTCTGTTATTTTGTCCCCTAAATCGCTGATTCGATTCTTGCTTCATCTAACCTACCATTGATTCTATCTGTTGTATTCTCATTTCAGATATTGTATTCTTCATTTTTGAATGGTTCTTTATTTTCCATGTTTTTTTTAATGCTTCCTATTTCTTTGTTTAATTCTTCACTGAGTTCACCCATTCTTCCCCAGAGTGCTCTGCGAGTATTTATATCCACTGTTTTAAAGTCTGCATCTGGAATTTGTTTGCTTCCATTTTACTTATTTGTTTCTTTTGGCGGGGGGAGATTACTCTTGTTTTTTTTGAAATTATGGCATATTTCTTTCTCTCCCCAATATGTCTGCCTGTTTGGGTTTCTCTCTGTTCTTTGGTAAGTCTCTATAACTCGCAAACTTATAATGAAGGTTTTATAATGTAGGTGTTTTCTAGGGATCAATGACACAATCTTTCAGATCAACTGAACTAGGTGCTTCAGAAACATGTGAGTGTTATGTGTGCCCTCCCATTATAGTTAAGTCTTGAACACTGTTGGCCCCTATAGTGGGTGGACGTAACCCTCTGGATGGCTGACTATAAGGACGCACTTCGGTCAGCTTGTATGAGTGGCACTGCAGGGACTGTTCCCTCAGACACGTTGTACCACAGGGTCTTGTGACAATCACAATCACCCTTTCAGTGTGCTGCTGTTTGGGTACGTAGGTCAAGCTCTGGTGAGGTCTGAATCACACCACTATTTGTGTTGGTTCTGGGTCCACTTGGACAAAGTTTTAGTACAAGTCAATGTCTGACATTGTGTATAAGCAGCCTTGGGCTCCCTGTCAGGACCCACCAAACCCTTCACTGTTTGGAGGTGTGTGTACTGGGCCAGGGTGTGCAGAGGGATCAGGCTGTAGACAGGGCAAGGCTTCCTGCTGCTCTGAGCTGGAGGAAGATCAATGAAGAATCTCCGGCTCCCTGATGTTCACCTCCACCTGTCAGAACACCCTCACCATGAGAGTGCCTGGTCTTCTCCAGGGCCTTCCAGCACAAGACCGCGGCTGTGGGTCCAGGCTGTCGGCAGCCCACAGACACTTCCACGCGGCACTTGATCAATCGGGTGGGACAACTGGGGGTAGGAACATGGTTCTAGTGTGTTGTCTACTTAGGGGCCACGTGGTCACACACTCAATATGGGAAAGTGGCGCCTACTCCAGAGACAAACCACTCAGTCTCTGCCAGAATCATCAACTCCAGATGCCCCAGGAGGAGCCTGGTAGGTTCAGGTTGGGTGCTGTTGAGTTATCCCCAGTGCAGGATCCAACTCAGCGCGGCAGAGGCATCGGGACTCAGGAAGAGAGATGAAACTAGTCTTTCATTGGGGGTGGTGCCAGCCCAGCCTACAGGAGGGAGGAAAGACTGGCCTCCATTCCACAAGCACACAGCTCAATGAGTGTTGAGGTCTGCCAAGAGCTTCACAGGAAAAGAGTGCCCCAAATGTCCCTGATGGTGCATCCAACAGACCTTTGTATAGGACTCGAGCTCGGAAGGGTGCTGTTCTCAGCAGAAGGAGGTCCAGGTTAGTCCTCTCCTCAGGCTGGTGCTGTAGGAATAGGAGTGCTCGACCCTGGGCGTTAGCACTTGAGGGTGGTGTGAGATCGGGACCCAACAAGGGACCTCAGTGGCTGAAGCTCCATCTCTCTCCCTGGGGCATGGCGTCCAGATTTTCTCTTTGAGACTCCCGAATGCCCTAGGTCACCTTCCTTCTACTGGAGCCCTGGGCGAGTGTCTGACAGCAAGAGCCGGTGCCTTGTCCTTGAGTAGAGCACCTGGGATTCTAGCAGACCCCTCCTCTTCCAGGCACACAGACCCCCAAGGAGGTTCACTGCAGATGCTCTGCCTGCTCCTCTTCCAGCCTCCACTGCGCTTCCTTTAGAATCTCCGCAGGGGGGGGGACCCCAGGCTCCTCTGTGGAGACTTTGTAGCCCAGATACCTCTCAGCCACCCCTGCAGGTGTGGGGACCAGCCCTCTCTGCGTCTCTGCCCTTCTTACCAGTCTCTGTGCAGCTTCTTCTGTAAACACTTGGTTATAATCCTCCTGTTCAGCTGTCTTTCATTTCCCTTTTCAGGTTGATTGTTCTATAACTAACTGAAAATCGATTTTTAGATGGGAGGAGGTGAGTGTAGCTTCCCCCAATCAAAAATTACCTTAAAATCTCCTGATCTCTCAACAATTCTACTAATATCTATTTTTTTAGATTCCAAAGGGCAATGTGGGCCCCCTCCTTCTATTGACAATGGAGACAGTATCACAAATCTACCCGAAGTCTATGCTCCAGGATCTTTGGTGGAGTACCGGTGCCAGTCCTACTACGAACTGCAGGGAGACAGGACAATAACATGTCGGGATGGAAAGTGGTCAGAACCACCAAAATGCTTAGGTGAGGACTTCAGTAATCCCGTGGATTCTGGGAAATCTGTGTGATGAATGTGATGTTTTGCTGTTTATAATAGATCTTTGATAGACTAGTTACCATTCTGTTGGTTGCTTGACAACAAACAGTAATATGTGAAGAAATAAAGTTTGAAAAATTTTTAAGCAACAACAATAATTATTTTTTCTTTACTTTATTTTTTTACATCATCATTTATCTTCCCTAAACCCTTTCTACCATCACCCACCCCCTTCAGTGATTCTTTAATGGAACCTCTACATATTAGTGACAGTATAATCTTTGATTGTAACATTTAATTATGAGACATTACACATAGTATCTCGTTTTAACATCATTAATCATTTTGAATTATTTACATCTAAATGATGGCTTTTTAGTGAGTTGGTTTGGACAGGTTGCAAAAATAAATGTCTGGATCTGCGTAGAAGTATCTACATGAAAGTCGAAAATCATGTGGAAAATATTTGTACTGTAATTAACATTTTATGTTCTTTTTTTTTTTATCTTCAGAGCCCTGTGTAGTATCCAAAGAAATCATGGAAAAACACAACATAGAGTTACAGTGGTCATACGAGAAAAAAATTTATTCTAAAACAAATGATGTTATTGAATTTAGGTGCCGACGTGGATACCGTAAGGCGACACCACAAACTAAATTACGAGTACAGTGTCGGGAAGGGGTACTGGCTTATCCCACTTGTGTAAAACGGTAGTTACGTTGCAGTCTTAAACTTAACGTGTGCACATTCATTCTGAATCGTTTATTATTATCCAATTCTTCACAATTTAATT